AGTAGCGAAATGCAGAAGTTGAGTTAATATAGTCCAAAATGTCAGCAGGTACTCTTTCAGATACATTTTTCTCTTGACTTGAAGGTGTACTTTCACACAGGTAGCAAAACTTGATTAATGGATTTTTACATTGATGACGGTCAATTTTTTCTAAAAATCTAAAATAATCAAGACACTAATTGCGAAATAAGGAATGAATAGATATAATTAAACTGTTTGATATTGATAGAATGTATCTACTAACATATGTCAGTAATAATTTTTTTGTATCCGACTTCGTGATAGTACTTAACGGTTTTCTAATATATTTTACTTCATGCACAAAGATGAACTCCTGTGCTAAGCGTGAATCTGTACTCTGAGCACATAAATATTGGTGTGACACATAATACTTACGTATAGGTATAGGTACACGAGCATCATTAGGTCACTAGTAGGTACCGGATCCGTTATTCTTGTTGTCATTTTTGTTGCTTATTACGAAACAATTTAAATAGGTTAATAGGGATATTAAAGGCGAATGTGTGTAAAGGTAGTCAGTTATTTATTTCAGTAGGTAGATATTGAAATTGACAGTTTATCGTTAGTTTAACAGTTAATTTCTTTGTAGCAGACAATAAACAAAATAAAGTATAAATGAATATGAAAAGCTTTAAATACCAAGATCTCAGTTTTTCATTTATCATTTTCATCAAGTGGTCTTGGAAATAAGTAATTACTTAATTGAATAGAGACTGTTCTATATCACTCTTATAAGACAAAAACGAGACATACTGATAAAGAAAAATATGTATCGAACATAGAAATTATCTATTTCTTTGATTTTATGTCTAAAAACCTTAACACTGACTATCAAAAACTGTACCCTATTTTTTTTTTAATTCTAAGGCGTACGTTGAATTATGAAGAAACTTTTTCAATCTTTATATTTTCGCGGTTCGTTTAAAACGTTGTCTATTAGCATGCAACTTTAGATTTCTTACAATTCGACAGATTTTAACGTTACTTTCACCATTATATAGCGTATTTATTCCAGAAGGTAGTGTGTATGAACTTTGGGGAAAGCTCGAGAAGGTTATAGAAAAGCTAAAAGCAAACTTTTCTCTTAGAATATATCAATTTAGAATGAGAAAATGCCGATGTAAAGTTATGAACTTTTTACTGCCACAGTTCCAAAGAAAGTTTTCTTCGTTTTAAAGCAGAAACGTAGATTTACGTTTTAGAGGTTTGTCGTCATTACGAGACTAAGCGTCATATGTAAACGTAATACCTGACGGCACAGTTTTTGTGAAACATATTTGAAACTTTTTTTTGAAAAAAATAACCGGTCAAGGGGAAGTCGGACTCGCGCACCGAGGGTTCCGAAGTAAATAGCTCGTCCGTCACGGTAATCGAGTCTTAAGGATATTTCCCGCTTATGTCGGAAAAAGTTTTAAGTTTCTTCCCAAAATCAACCCTCAAAATATATAATTACAATATTGTAATAAAAAAAATATTTTTTTTTCTGGTATAACTACAAACTTACGATTTTTAAAATTTTCCCTTTACTTGTGCTGTAAGACATTGCTTCTTGCTAAATTTCATAATTCTGGGTCAACGGGACCCTACAGGTTTTGATTCCCTTGTGAGTTTCAATGTATACGGCATAAAGACCTGAGTATTTGATATTAACTTCAATTTGATACCTCGACACGCTCCTGAGATAGACAGACAGACAACTAAGTGATCCTATAAGAGTCGTTTTTTCCTTTTGAAATGCGGAACCCTAAAAACCGATTAATACACAGCGTAATTTTGCCAAATTATTTACTTTAAACGTTGGATAATACTGTTTCAGTTTTCTCGGTCATTATCAAGGGTAACCCTTTTGCACTAATTGTAAAACTTAATATTAATATCAGTAACTTTACACACAATCAACTACAAATTACTCAGAATAAGTGAAAAACTCGTGGAAACTAATTCAATTTGGTTATTGACTAAATTTAAATTGTTTTTTTACAGATTTATTGACTTAAATATTTTCCAACATTAAAAATTTTTTTTGTTGTTATTAGAATGGAGAGGTTTCGCATTGTCGATGTTAAAAGAGTGTTGAAAATTGATGCAGTGTTCTGCAAAGACTGTTTTCTGAAGTTTTTTATCTATACAGTAAACGTGCTCTTGTATTAAACGTGTCTCCATGGTTGCACCACTTTTTCTAATGTAAGTTGCATCATAATCGTTACAAAATAATTGGTATACGCCATTTTTTGTTACAGGAAGTGGTTGTGGTTTGTTTTTAACCAATAACGTTTTTTAGATTAATGTTATTGGTTTCTATTACTGTGAAGATTGTATCTTTTTACTATGACATTATTAATAAACTTAATTGAACAATACTGCTGAGAAGTTATTGTAGATTCGTTTTTACTCGTTAAGTTACGTATTTAAAAACAAAATAAAAAGATACAATCTCATTGCAATAGAAACTAATAACATTAATGTAAAAAGTAATGTAATGTATTAGTGAAAAACTACTTCCTACAAAAGGTGGTGTATAGCAATTATTTTTAAAGATTGTGAATTAGATCTAGTATCCATTTCTTCCCTATCTTTTTCCATTAGAGTGTAGATTCAAAGCCAAAGGTCTTTTTATTGTAAAAACGACCACCGTGTTTCTCTTTACATGTGTGCTGTTTATACCTTGTTTATAATTGTTTATAGCTATTTACTATTCTATCTTTAATTATGTTAAAAATGTGTTTTGTATGTACTTTGATCACAGACCACAATAAATATCGTGATAAAGCTTTGTAATTAAGGCGAAATGTCGGAGATTGTTTTTACCTAAAAAAAACTTTCACCCTATGCTTGGTTTTGAATCTACACTTCATTGTGAAATAGAGTTGTTATCTTCACTTTTTAGATTTTCAAGGTAAGAGGATAAAAATGCAGGACAATAGAGGGAAATTCAGGATAAAATACATTGTATGTATAAACAGCGTCGTTGACTCAGTTGGAGATACCTAAGTAACACTCTAATGTTTCAGTTATAAACAAATATCAGTGAATCAATGAAGATATACTGCCGTAACTCGATATTATATTAATTTATTGTTGTTCATAGAATATAAACTAAAAAGAAAGAACTTTCTATGTATTACAAAAAGAAAGCCGTATCATCCCCCAAAAGTCACTTAGTAACAGTTAAGTCCAGCCAATGTAGGGAATGAGGTTTATTATAAATGTGAAACGAACGTTTCGCTCTCATTTATTAGGTTTTTTCAAGCTTGGGTTTTCTAGTTATGTTACATGGAGCTCAAATGGTGCAATTTGTTGCCTAAGTATAAAAAGTGATGAAACATTTATACATTAATACAGAAAAATAATAATAGATAATTAAAAACATTGGTCTAAGTACAAAAAACCAGCGGCGCCGACTTTTAGAACACCTCGTGGGTGCTAATATTTTTTTTTATGACAATATCAACATAATCCTAATCGTTTTTATGTATATCTAACAAATAAAAACTCTACCTGATGTCCTAAATACGTGTCAAAGGTTATCGAAAATGCAATAATTTAATAAATAGTCTTAACCAGGATCATCACGATAAAACTGAAGTTTCTAATTTTCTAGGTTAAACATACACATTGACAGTGACAGTCCTTTTTTGAGATGAAAAACAGTTTTTCTGTCCCTCAAGAACAGTTTTTTTTCTGAATAAAAAGTACCCTATCGTTCAAGATTTCAGGATGATCGCTTGCGTAATTAAGGCAATAATAATATTAGTTAAGATTAAACCAAACCAAACAAAAGTGCTACGTAACAAGTTCCGATTTTTATTAAATTCTTTTGATAATATTCACGTTTTTCATTACGAAGTTCGCCCGAGTTATCTAGAGTTAAATGCAGGACTTGATCCGAAATGCAGGACGGTTTGCATCACTTTGAAAAAAGTAATAGAGCCGTAGAAGCACGTTTAAAATCTTTGCAGAACACTGTATCAGTTTTCAACACGTAAGTTAAAAAATTATCAATTTTGTAAAATTAAAAGAAAAACATTTTAAATTTAATCAATAACTAAACCGAATGAGCGTTCCACTTCTCTGGTGTAACTTGTAATTTATGTAGGTATTAGTGTTAAGTTTTAGCATAAGTTTGAGAAACTACGTTGGGTAAATTATTCAATTTTTTTTTAGTTTATTATAAGTAATAATTAAAATTACAATTCATACGCGAGCAGAGCTACGGCCAACAGCTGGTAAAAATTAGATACAAAATAGTTATAAACATGTGAAGAACAATGTAGGTAACTAGGTAATTGCAAGCGATTGTACATGGGTAGGTATGTTCGTTAATTGAAATTTCCAAATATTCTGTGAGGCAAGACTCAACATTTTAACTACATTACTTGCCTGCTGATGGATACAATACAAGTTTTAGCGTTTGATGGAGCTTTGACATACCTACCAAGTAACAAGTTACGTAAAGACATACAAAGAATTTTAGTAATTATTGCGTTTCATAATAATCTAATTAAATAAATCAATCGTCGTCACCTTTGCAGAATACGATTATGATGCGTATAACTAACTGATAATCTACAGAAATTACTTCTGCAAAGGCCAAGGTCTTCAACAAAAAATAAAAATCGCGAAACTTTCTCTGGCTGTTTAAACAAAGGTGATATCGATACCAACATGTAACTCCGCATATCTATTTGTATCTATCGTTATTCTAATTAGACATAGAATAAATATTTCTTCATCGTTTCTTTTTGCCTTCTTGAATTGTGCCCTTGATCGTAATCATACGTTTGAAAAAAAGGAAAAAATGTTTTTTATGTTTATTAATGAAATAATTGACTTAGTCGACGAGTTGTAAAATGACATCATTACGCAGCCGTTAAAATTAATTGACGACGATTTATTACCCTTGTTGAGTATAATGTCAACCTTAAAAAGGTGCAGGAATATAAAACTAAAGAATAACTAGAATTGTTAGAATATCTTACCTATGGTGTATTCGCCGGCAGACAATGCGGCATGTCCGGTCAACGTTGCAATTGTGAAAAGGTGAGGATTAACTGCATGAACTGCTTCTTCCTTCAGCTAGAAAAAAGGGAAACAATGTATATCATGTTTGCATATATTTTTTGATAGTATGAAAAATAAAAAACAGCTGGCCTTGCGAGAGTCAAGCTCTCGCATAGATGGTTTAAGTCCATGCAAATTGGAGATACACCGGATAGTGATATTGTCGGGTACCCGACAATCACTACAGATATTGGGTTTATGTCTTCGTTTTTTTTTTTTTGTTTATTTTAGCCTCGAGGAGGGGAAATCTTCTAAAGATACCCCCCAAAGGGGGTAGGGGGGTAGTGTCGGATTCACTCCTGGAGGGAGCGCCTACCGACTAAAAACCCTAGGCGTTCCTCATTTTAGCTGGCTTTCCATTAAATACCACCCTCATCAACGCACAATTCCAAACCATTTTAAGTCCCGTTCAGTCATTTAAACACTAAGCCAGTGCTTCTCAACCACTGTGCCGCGAGATTCTTCAAGTGTTCCCGCCAAATTTTACGGATACATACAGTGAAATAGCGGAAGAGACTTTTGGAGAATCCATTTTGCTGTCTGGTTATGTATAGTGGTATAGCCTATGTATAAAAGTGATAGGGAGATATACCCCTCATTTAAAAAAAAATATTTTTTGGAAGAATAAAGCACAAGAACGTCGCTTAGAAAGGTTTGAATCAGTCCCAAAAGAGTGTTATAAAATAATTCATAAAACAATTGTTGATAGGCCAATAAAATTTTAATTCTTGGTTGGTAAATTTTCGCCGAGAGGGTTGAGTTGAAACCGTTGAACCGAGCTTATGTTTATAAACACTAATAGTTTGCAAGGTGTCACAATCATACTAATTATCGTTAATAAATACCTGATATACCAACAAGCGACAGAAATCGTAACAGTTCAGCATTCTTTTTCATGAAAGAAAGTAAAAAATACAATATTAATTACCAATTTTCATTAGGTAAGTGTTTGTTATACTTATTAAATTATTATTGCTGATATATTTTTTCCTTTTTCTTTGATAGAATTACCCGGCACTGGCGGGTACGCGGCGTCATTATCCGGTATTCGGCCGGATGCTAAAAAAAGTGCCAGATCCGCCGAGTCTAATGCAAATGTAACTTTTTTTACTTATCCATATTAAGTTTATAACTATTTCCAACTTAGAAAGACCATAACTGGGTGATCTTTGGTATATAATTCTATCCTCACAACAGTAGATTAACTTGACTATAAAATATTTCACTGGTTAAAATAATAGGTACGGATTTATGATTTTATAAAGGAGGAATTTACAAAGGTAGATAATTTTTTATCTGCAAATATGCATGATAGCAGTTTTTCCTGTCTACGCGTAATTCGATTGATTGTTCTTTCTAATCATGACCCATGCAAAATAAATTACCCAATATCTATAACATGAGTTAATTTGTTCTAACTGACTGACTGATGATTAACGCACAGCTCAAACTATTGGCTCGATTTTTGAGAGCATATTCTGACTATGTATTAGGTAATAGGGGCGCACTACGTATAAATTTTACGAAAATCGCATAGTAAAGGGTTGAAACAAAGCAATATTCCTAAAAACATCAAATAAAGTCGAGTGAAGAACCTTTCGTAAAATATCGATTTATCATCAGTTCTTTTTAGCGGCGGATAAAAGGGGTGATGGGGTTGGCCAGCCTCGCGTCTCTGGTCTTAACCAAAAGACATTTTTGACAGGGAAACGCATTAAAATATTACAGNTGGTATAGCCTATGTATAAAAGTGATAGGGAGATATACCCCTCATTTAAAAAAAAATATTTTTTGGAAGAATAAAGCACAAGAACGTCGCTTAGAAAGGTTTGAATCAGTCCCGAAAAAGTGTTATAAAATAATTCATAAAACAGTTGTTGATCATTTGACAATACTAAAGGAAAAAATTGTTCAATATTTTCCGAATTGAAAAATAAAAAAATTTTGATTGGGTTTGAAATCCACCTAAGTGCCACAACACGTCGGTGTATGAATTAACTTTGAAAGAAGAGGAAGAATTAAATTCGGTGTGTAATAACCGAGATTTAAGTTCAAAACATTCAGAAGAATCAATAAATTCTTCCTGGTTTAGTCTTAGATTTGATTATCCGACAATTTCACAAAAAGGTTTAAGTGTATTATTACAATTTTCTACATCTTATTTGTGAGAGTTCGGATTTTCTGCTTTGACCAACATAAAAACCAAAAAACGATCCAGATCATGAAATGAGAGTAGCGCTATCGTTTTTACACCCAAATATAAATAAAGTTGTCAAAAAACACCAACCTATAATTTCGCATTAAATGTTTGTAATTTATCATTAAATAAACATTTTCTTTACTTTGTAATACCATTTTACTTTATAAACACTACGCAATACAATTAAAAAACTTTAGAATTTGGTGAAATTTCTTTTCTTCTATCTAAAAGATTGTATCTTCCTTTGATGCCGTGTTAATTACAATTACAATTCAAGAGTAATCGCTAATCGAAATTGACAAACATTCAACAAAAACGCGGAAAAGAGACTACAAATATTTTTTTATTATAATGTGCTTGTTTAATTGGAAATCATAAAGCAAGAACGTACTTAGGATGGTGTCGAGCTACAAACACATGTACTAGTAATGTCATAGTTCTCACCCGTCAGCCTAAGTACGAACCTGATACGTGCGAACGATTTCCATCCCCTAAATAATAACGCATAAGAGAACAACGACAGTTTAATAAGTTTTACAATAGTTTAATAGTTTATGTCCTCCAAGTGGGAAAGTGAGCATTTTCTGTGGGATTGCCAACATTTGCTATTAATAAAGACTTAATTTATTGTCTCGTTTATTACACGNGTATTTATTTCAAAAAAGTATTTTGAAAATACATATTTTGCATTTAAAATACAAAATCTATTTTGTATTTTACATTTGAAATATCAAATCAAAAAGTATTTGCATTTTGTATTTAAATACTTTTGAAAACCATTTTGCACATCTCTAACTATCGTATGATGTACCAGTACGGTAATAAACGCCAGGCGACTCCGCCTTTTTATAAACGCTAATGAAGTAAAAAATTATATATTATAAACGTATTTATATTAGGGGTAGATCCAGGGGGTGATCCTCCCCTTCTTAAAACGACTCCGGATCAGTGTTCTAGAACTTAAGCAATTTAAATTTCGTAACCCTATAATCGTAGTGTTTTAAACCCCTTAACCCTTTAGCCTAAACCACAAATACTCCCACGAGTCCATAGCTCGGAGGCAACTACCCAACGTGCTAAAGTAATTTATGCCGCCGTGGTAATTTATTCATAAATACGCTTTTTTTAATAGTTTTATACCCTTATTTCACCATCGTCCCCCTCCCCCACAGAATATTTCTTGACCGGCCCTGACTTAAAGTTAAAATAATATATTGCTTGTAACTTTTTACTCTCGTTTAATAGCAAACAAAATAGCGTGTAACATTCATACGTGTTTTCGCGAAAGCGGTTAAAAAATGGAATTACGTTCAGATTTCAGGTCTTTTCTTTAATTTATAAGTTTCATGTAAGGTAATTGACTTCATTTTTGTGACAATATGCAATTACAATCGCGTTACGTACATAGCACTGCCTTGTACATAGAAAGAACGTTCTCAATTTGTTATTTTCTATCTAGGAAGTAATCTTTCCTTGACCAATGATAATGGTCGCAACGAACATAATTTAAAATACGAAACGTTGCAAAAACACATCGACTTGGAAGGACGTATTTCACAAAAGCCTGCTTACACTGCCTACTACTTGCTTTCAACCGTGTCATTTGCGCATTTTCTTCCCCACAATAGAAAATAACTGATAAAGTAAGTAAACAAATTCTTCGCATAGTTGTTTGTTTTGATTTTAATAAAAAAGACGGAGAAATCAGGTTAGTGCAAAGACCGTTTAATTAACCGTTTGCCCCTTTTTTCGTTACTTTCGAATTGTTATTATGCTATATAATCAAGCCTTAAACTTAACCGATTGACTTTGTCCCACTTAAACATTCTTTGATGTTGTAAACAACATGCTTTCCTCTGATTATTTATTTATTTATTCGTCCATATTTATGAAATTTCCCAATCTGTTTTCACCGGAAGAACGATTTTTATTAAAGTTAGTGTAGGTACACCACTTCTACGTAGGTAGATAAAGAAATACTTGTTATTATAAATAAAAGTAATACTTTATTTTAGGCTTTCCTGCCCGGAAATTAGTTTTCCTGTCCAATGCTTCTTGCATGTTAAGCTAGAAATAGTCAGGATTACAGTGCTATGCAAGTTCTGATTCAATACAGTCTTCTTCAGGTTTGACACGAATATGAACTGCAAGTAATAATAATAACATTAATAATATTATAATAAACTGTTACCGTGCATGATGCAAAATAACAGTTTCTACCGTAAAGTACCGTTTTTAAAAATGATACTTTTGAAGCAATGCCATTAAAATGGAGGTGAATCTACGGGACAGTTAAGTAATCACAATCGTGACTAAATGCATTAAACATGTACTTACTGCATATGTTTTTTTCTATTTTTAACGCAAATTAGTATGAAAATCAAGTATCAGATGTAAATATTTAACGAGTAGTGTGTAATATTTTACAATATATTATTTACTCTACTTTATCGACCACATAGAACCATAAAAAATAATCCCAACAACAGACGGAATCAAAGTCAATACATAGTGACAAAAAGGGTTTATTTTTTAAAATAACGCTTTCTAAAAGTAGATTTTAGTATTAAAAATGCTACTGTGTCTAATATCTTATCAAAAATAAAATCGTCGAACGACTGATCTGACGGTTACTGTAGATAGACATATCTATAAACACATAGGTAAAGGATAAATATTCGATAATTGAAAAATGTCGATGCGTTGCGTTTTACCTTTAATTAAAATTGCTTCAAAGCCCGGCCCTGTAAAGCAATACATACACTTGAGAGTAAATTCTTTAAGTATAATCGTTTACTTAAAAAAAGTCAAAGCC